ACTTGTCAGGAGTTGATCTGTAATAAGATGATTCTTTTAAGATTTTATGTGAAAATTTATGAATAAACTCTGTCTGACGAGAAATAATGAAATATGATTTCTTTACATATTTAGAGTTAAAAGCACTGTTGTACGAAGTATGGAAATAACTCAATCTGAAATAAGTGAAATATCAACCAATGGTACACCCATTATAAAAAAACAATATTCTATGTGTCGAAAAAAATTTGATTCAATTGCCGATCTCGTTTCCTATTATCGTACCTATGATTTTGCTGAGAATAAAACGCCATCACATCAGCTCTTACATCGTTTGGGGCAACCATTACCTCGACCAACATGGCGTATTGAATTAGAACAACAATTATGGTATCAACCTAATGTATCAAGAGAACAAGCAGAGGAATTGTTAAATTCTGTAAATATTTTCTTGAATATTTAGAACAAATGTCCTCATATTGTCTTTTGTTTTATTTCTACTAGCATGCTGAATTGATGTCATTTTTAATTCGGGAATCGAGTAATCGTACACATCAGGGTTATACAATATCCGTTTATGTTGATAATAGTACACGTCATTCGCCTATTTATGGCGATTCAGATTGTCTTATGTGTATGTCAGTGACATTTACAAGTTTAATTGAATTAGTTGCTTATTATAAAAAGAGACCAATATTTGGTCATTTATGTTTAACAAATCCAGCACCAAACTATTCACAGTATCAACAACAATTAAAAAATAATTTATTAAATGGTAAAATTAATGCAGCAAAGAATTTAGCATTAGAAAATGATATGAAAATCAATAAAAATATCCTAAGATTTAGTAAGTGAGAGAAAATAGATGATAAATAATTAAGTGATTGACTGCTCGTTTGCTTTTTTTTTGTTTTTTAGTGAGTGAACGAACAAATGACAATGATGAAAAAGTCTATATTGAAATAATTTTGTATGTGGATGATGAGAATGATAGAACATCTATTATAGAAGATACAAATGATATCGGACTTACGTTACGTTTTGAAAATAAAATTGAATCTGAATCATTTAAATCCAAAATCACATCACCTGTAAAAGAACAACGATTAAATACAATGCAACGTTTA